AAAGAAAGAAAGAAAGAAAGAAAGAAAGAAAGAAAGAAAGAAAGAAAAATGTAACATAAATATCAATGAAAAATGATTATGGAAAAGCAAGTTCAGAGCAAGAAGGTTTTGTTTTATTTTTCTGTTTCATTAGAAAGCAGAAAATCAAAAGATGGTAAGAAATAAATAATAATAAATTAATATTTTTAAAGTTGACTGTAACAGATATATCAGAGATAACTGCATTGATTTTCCATTATTTATGGGAAACAGCTATGAGAAAACTCTTTTTTCCCTCACTTATGAAGTGCCTTCCAAGATAACAGGTGAAGAAAGGCCTCCTGCCTCTTAAAACTATCTTTGACTCTAAGTAGGATAAGTACCACCCAAAGACAAAGCTGAGCTGGTAATCCAATCCTGAGAATTTGCTGTGGTCAGTTATTAGTGCGTTCTTAATAAAATGCTTACTTTGCATTTCCCTATCAAACTCAACGTGAGAATTGGCAATGCTAAATGTACAGCTTTTCCCTATAATATACTTGCCTGCACTTGCCTACGGCTAGGGTTAGGTTTAGATTTCTGGATCGATCTGTTGACACATTGAAATATTATATTAAATGAAAGAATAATCCAGAAGATAAGAAATAGCGATTCCATGAAGCTATTTCTTTCGAGGATTAAGTGAACATTTCCTTAAGAAGTGACTTCTATCTATATAATTTTACTGGCTTATGGCAGCATTTATTTATAGGATTTACACCCTGCTTTTTTGCCTATATAGTACTGAAGATATCAATAATTAAATATAAAACAATCAATTAAACTCCTATAAAAATGGTTAAATCACTACTAAATTGGCTCAAACATGAAAGTCTTGGCTGAAGAGGGAGGTCCTAGAAGACTGGAGATTGAGTGCAGCTCTCTGTGCATTTTACAGTTTGTACACAGTAGAAAAAGGCCCTTTCCCCATGTACCTGGCAAACAAAAGTATTTAAAACACCTCTGCCGCTAACCAGAATGTCAGAAAGCTTCGTATGGAGATGCATGGTTCCTTAGATAGTAGTCAAGTTAACAGATAATCAGAGTTGGCAGAGACCTTGTAGGTCATTTAGTCCAACCTCCCACCCAAGCGGGAGACCCTACACCATTTCTGACAAATTGCAGTCCAATCTCTTCTTGAAAGACTCAAGTGATGGTGCTCCCACAACTTCCAAGGGCAAGCTGTTCCATTGGTTGATTGTTCTCACTGCCAGAAAGTTTCTCCTTATTTCCAGGTTAAATCTCTCCTTGTTCAGTTTCCATCCATTATTCCTCGTCTGGCCTACAGATGCTTTAGAAAATAGCTTGACCCCTTCCTCTCTGTGGCAACCCCTCAAATATTGGAAGACCGCTATCATGTCTCCCCTGGTCCTTCTCTTTACTAAGCTAGCCAAGCCCAGTTCCTGTAACCATTCTTCGTATGTTTTAGTCTCCAGTCCTCTAATCAACCTGGTTGCTCTTCTCTGTACTTTTTCTAGAGTCTCAACATCTTTTTTATAATGTGGTGAACAAACCTGGATGCAGTACTCCAGGTGTGGTCTTACTAAGGCTTTATAGAGTGGTATTAGTACCTCCCTTAATCTTGATTGCATTGCTCCATTAATAAAACTTAGGATTGCATTAGCTTTTTTGGCTGCTGCTGCACACTGCTGGCTCACAATTGTTCACTAAGACTCCAAGATCCCTCTCAGTTACTGTTATTGAGCCTGGTTTCACCCAGTCTATATGTGTATTTTTGATTTTTCTTACCTAAGTGTAGGACTTTACTTTTCTCTACATTGAATTTCATTTTGTTAGATACGGCCCAGTGTTCTAGCCTGTCAAGATCCATCTGGATCTTGAGCCTATCTTCTTGGGTGTTAGCTATTCCTGACAGCTTAGTATCATCAGCAAATTTGGTAAGTTCCCCTTCTATTCCCTCATCTAAGTCATTAATGAAGATATTGAAGAGTACTGGGCCTAAGACGGATCCTTATGGCACCCCATTTATAAAACCAACATCTTAAACTGTGCCCACAAGTAAAATATCTCACCAAATCCTTATTAAGTAAATTAAGGAAGTCTAGTAAAAAAGATAAATACTTCATAGAGAGAATCCCGAAATTTCAATTTATCTTTCGGAATAGTCAAAAAATGGCAGACTTCTCAACTGTTAAGAAAACATTGTTTTAAGTGCGTACCCACCCGTAGTTTTTTAAAAGCTCAATATATATGAAATTTGTCTTTCCTTCCCCACTCTCTTACACCCTTCTCACCTTTCCAGTTCAGCTATCTTCTTATCTTTATCATTCTTCTCATTTTCCATCTCTTTTAGGATTTCCAGCAAGCGATCAACTTCAGCTTGAGCCTTGGTAGACTCTTCTCGATACTGGGTCACCTCTTTTTCGATCTGCTGAAATCTATCATTAATCTCTGGATTGGCCCTGGCCTCAATGGTTGCTTCATAAGCCTTTTGAAAAAAACATTGTAAGAGTTATTTTGCACATCCATGCTACAAAATATTCTATTCTGAAAAAAAAAATGTAAGGAGAGCCATTGCATACAAAGTGGAGCCTGGTTCTTTTTATAGTACGAAGATATATTAATTCTTAAACAACAAAAAATTGTACTCTTAGTTCATTTAATATTCACATAAATCAAATCTTTATTGTAGTTGTAGACCAGCATAATGAAGTATTATTTAGATTTGTTAATGTATGAGTGTCCAATACTGGTCACATTTTTAGACTGAGTATTTTCACCTATCCTAGAAGCAATAGAATAAGTCTTAAAAAAATAATTGGAATAACTTATACTGCAATATTTCTTAATTTTCTACTGAAGCATCTATTATAATTTATTTTTCTTTCCAACTGTTGCCAGTTTTTGCTTTTGTCTGAATATCTTAAGAAACTCAGATTTTAGTCCAGATAACTTCACCATAATATCTTATAGGCTTCCTGGAATTCCCAAGAAACTCCGCAAGGCTGCATGACATGAAATACATCTGACCACAAACATTCTTCAAGAGATTAAAAGTCTTGAAAGTCTTAAGATTATTCAAACTGACTTAAAATTTTACTGACTGGATAGAATTGAAATACTACTGACAGATTAGTATAATACAGGTGTCCATCTCTTCTGCCAACTGAGATACATTCTTTGGGCTGATTTCTAATTATGGAAGTCTGTGGTTATGGATAGATTTGGACTGTCTGTTTGGATAGATTTCCTATCTTCTTTAAAAATTGTGCTTTTTTTTAAAAGTAAGATTTTTATGGTGATTTCTGAAAGCCCCACTATTCCAGATTGGAAGTGTTGCCATAAAGATTTTCAGTAGCTTTCCCTAGTTCATAAGTTTTCTTAACATTCTGACTTGCAGATTTTCAATTATCAACACCTCCTTTGAACACTCATTCAAAATATATGATTTATTTCTACTTTATTAGTACGGCATCAGGATTGTGTTTGACCTTGGGGTGGGCATAGCCATAGTTGGCGTGGCCAGCTTGACATGACTCATGTGATCAAATGCCACTTTTGCTAGTAGTTTGTTTTGCTAGCACTCTGCCAGCAAAAATGGAACTCATGAGGGCCCCCTGCAGCCCTCCCAGGCTCCATTTTCTGCTGCAATAGTCTCCTGCAGCCCTCTGCCAGCGAAAATGGAGCCCGGGAGGGCTATGCACGGCCCTCCTAAGCTCCATCTTTGCTAGCAGAGGCACTGTGGCTGGTCCTTCCCTGTTTCTAGGGTAGCCCCATGGGCCAGATCTAAGTACCCCTGACTTAGCTGATAACCTTTTGAATACTTATGTGTGTTATAAAGAAGCAGATTATCTGATTTTAAATATCATATGAAAATGGACAGGAACATCTTCCCAAACAGAGTAAGATGTAAATAAATAATTTTACTTATTCTGCATAGCAATGAACTTCTAAAGTCATAATTAAAATTTCATTTATGAGGAGACCGTATATAATGTTTACCTTTTTCAGCTGAGATTCAAATTTCAGGCATTCTTCCTTCTTTTGCTCTAAAGCAATTTCTAATGTTTTCAGTCTAGAGTCTTTTTTCAATCCTGCTGATGCTAATGATGAAGCATGTTCCTTCAAATCCAGGAGTGTAGTCTACAAGACAATGAATGCAGTGACAGATATTGCTCCCATTCTCAAATATTTATTGTGGTCTTTCATAAGACTTGAAGACTACATCACAATAATGGATTATTCCATTCCATTCCACTCCATTCCCCTCTATTCCACTCCACATATACTATACTATTTCAGAGTCAGGCTGAAGTGTTTTTAGTTACAAGTTAGTTACTAATGTTTAAAACCATTTGAAGGATATATGACTTAAAAATAGCTATTGTACTATTTTCATTGTGGTAAGCTGTGTATTTGTTTAAATAAACAATAGGAGTTTGGAAGGGACTTTCAAGATTAATAAAAAATATCAAATTCATTTAACATGCTGTAAATCTAAAAATAGTTTGATAAATGGTTCTTTTTTACAACATAAAGGTTTGTTTCACTGATTCTAGCAGAACGTGTAAGGGTGTATAAAATGGGAAACAAAATTAGTTTTGATTTTGGAACAATAAGCCTTCTCCCAAACATTCTAAATAGATTATTTTCCAATGAAGTCCATAATAGAAGCAATTCAACAATTTCAACAGAATTAAAAAAATATGTTTCATGTATTTTGACTATAGAAAACCATGGAATTTTGGAATAAGTCTTTCCCTTCCTAATTTTTCACTCAAGGGTCACAGATATCAGTGTCTGTCGTCCATTCTGCAGAAAAAAATCACCAGGGATAATTCTTTTTATTTTAAAAATTCCAATAAGAAACCACTGCAGGCAGTAGGAGATCTTTCAGTCTCAAAAGCTGAAGCCCAGCAAAAAATAATAGGTCTGTTGGCCTTTGTAGATTTGTGTTCTGCTTTGGGTTTCTGTGGATTGCTGCATTCTTTCATACATATCATTAATGTTAAATAAGGAAAAGACAAAACAAATCTATGCCTTAAGTTTCTACATTCATTTATATCTATCCATTTACAACTCATTAGCAACCAAAATTCAACAAAGCAACTTAAACTATACTAACTCAGTATTGTAATAGCAGTGGTCCTTGCATTTACAACTTGCAACTCAAGGAGCTTTTGCAATAATTCAGTTGTGGAGCCCTGATTGTCTTTAACAATAGTGCAAAATACACAATCGCCTAAGCCATAGATTTGCAAAAAACAATAGTGCAAAATACGCTTTAGGTCTAAGCCACAGATTTAAGTAACTGTTGTTTTGTTACACTTTATGGATGATTGCGTCTACTATGTTAGCTTAGATGGATTTTCTTTAAAAAAAAAAACAACCCTGATCACAAGGCACAGGCAACACACACTGAAAGTGCTTCCATGTGAAATACAGAAAATACCACCTGAAGTCTTGGTCCAAGTACCAAAGAAAACATGATTTGTTTGGAACTCAAAACAACTTTTAGAACATGCACATTTGATTCTGAGCATGTAACAACTGAAATATTTCAAACTCCAATGTTTTGCACACCCCTACTTTTGACATAAGGTTGTGTAGATGATGCAATTACTCATTTAACTTAGTTGTCAGCTTAGAATCAAGACGAACTTAATTAGTTTTCAAACTCCATAGACCGAAGGAATGCCTCTGCCCACTGATTTCTTTTTCCCCACGCAATAAGATCACCTTTGGGGAGCCTAGTCTGAGTACAGCAAGTGGCTACTGGGAACAGTCTATTTCAATTGCATTCCAAGGATTCTCAGCACAGTATATGGTGTGCTATCTTTATTTGTTTTCAGAATCGTGTATTTTTTTATCTTCCCTCTTGTTCATTTTCTCAGTGGACTTTAGACTACATTTGAAATATCTAAATTCAGAGGTGCACCATTATTGTTAACCAATATCAGTACGTAAGTAAACTATTATAACCCCCTTTTAATGCTGCAATTCCAAAATGTATATATGCATCTCTAAGATTAACCTCCTTTTCTGTAAGATCTGCTTGCAAGATGCTGACTTTCTCTTTAAGGTCTTTCATATCTTTTTTATAGTTGTCAATCTCCTCTTGTTTTTCTCGCTCATCTCTGTCACGCTGCTCCTTGAGACGCTCAATAGTACGCTCCTGGCAAAAACAGAATAGCATTGTCAAAGAAACATAATCTTTTAATGGACATAAACTCTTTGATTTCAAATAATTCCCATCTCACTCAGAATACAAGTCCCAGTAAATTCAATTTATTGGATTTTAAAGAATATGAAGAAATGTGATTTTAAATAAATGCTTGTAATCATTTTATTTTGAAACCATTAAATGGTCAATACTTGAAATAATTTATTAAATAACTTGCAAGGATTTTTATTTTCAGAAACTAAGAATTGAGGCAGCAATTCATTTCTAAAAATGGCATTACTAACAAAAATGACAAAGGATGCAATATAATACTATACATAGATAAGAAAGGAGCTTCACAGTGGAGGCATCAGGCTTTATGTTATGAAAAGATAAGAGTTCTGTTTTTTTAAATTGAAAAACATCATTGATTACTTTGAAATAGATATTTACAAATTTATAAATTCACTTTAGAGTGACAATAACCACACTAAGATGTCATTATCTGCAGGTAAAGAGAAGTGAAAGAAAAAGAGGTTAGAATTCAAACTGCAGTATAGGTGACTTGAGTTCTAATATGGAATACTTATAATTTCTCTACAGAAAAATCTATGTACTACTAACTTTCATGTCTGTACCCTTTTACTGAGCAAAATGGTGCAAGTCAGGGTAAACCTTCTGAACCAAGGCACCTCAACTAAGGGTTAACTTAGAGAATGTGTCCAATATCTGGGACCCATGACTCCAGTGGAATTGAAATTTGGCAAATTTTATAAAACTTTTATGACATCAAATAGTCACAAGTCATTTCCAACAACATATCATAAACATTTTCTGTGGTCAACATGGGCAACTTGAAAGGCATCTCTGAATGTGTCCTTGAAGTTTTAAGAACTTTTCTAGTGAATGCAATACATTAGAAATTGCCAGGGTTGGTGGTATTGAAGAATCTGGTGAGGAAAAATCTCTAAACAACGATCCAAAGGGTCACTGGTTGTTCACTGCAAAAGTTTCCAAACATGGCAACTTTAGGACTTGTGGACTTCCAGAATTTCTCAGCCAGCCATGTTGCCTGGGGAATTGAAAGTCAACAAGTTTTAAAATTCCAAGTTTGCTGGTCTAGTGAGAACCTAAAATTGTCATGCAAGATTATTTTCATTATTTGATGTTAAAGGACATCAAAATCCTATGGACTCCAAGATTCCACTTGAACAAGCAATCTTGACAATGTCATTATCTCAATTCATTTGTTTTCCTTTTGACTTGGAGGAAGGAGGAGGTCTGCTTGTTTTATAAATTTTTTCATTTTCCTTTATTTTTTATCATTACCAGGATTAATAATTTTGCATTACATTGTTAATGCCATGGTATGCATTTATATTTTTCTTCATTTCAAGCAATAAAATGAGAGGATACAGAGAATTACTTCTCAAACAGATGTCTACAGTGATGAAGGCACAATCTTTAAATAATGTTACCTCCTTTCCTTCAGACTTACCTTTTCTGCCAGTGCTTCCTCTAGCGTAGTCAAGGCTGTATCGGTGTTGGTGGTATCAGCTTGCAGGGATTTTACTCTTTCTTTCAAACTGCTCATTTGTTTCTCTTTGTCTCTTAGTTGCTCCTGAAGATTTTCAATCTTAAGGGAAGGACACAACATAAAACTCAGGGAGGGATTACAGTTAGGGATCACAGCTGTTAGGATCCAATAATCCTAATTGCTATTCTCTATAGTGTGTAGCAGAGAAAAATATCATAAACTAATGGCCAAAGAAAGTAGTGCTGATTGTGGTCCTGCGATTCAGCCACAATGTCAGGCCTGCAAAAATCCAGACCACCACTAGATACGGAAAGTTGTCCTTGCTGATAACTGGTGGTCATCCAGATTTTTGAGGTCCAGACTTTATGGTTCTATTGTGCAGAATCTAGAGGCAGGGGGAATGACAACAAGGAGGAACATAGGAAGACCCCCTAAAGCTCTAAGGCTTCTTCTGCCTTTATGCAATGGAACCCAACCATTTGGCCTCAAGTTCAATTGTCTCCAAAAGCATGAAGCACTTAGGATCCTCTATGCTTGTCTGAATAAGAAAGCACTTTCTTATCATTGCACACCAGAATAATTAGTCACAAGGACAGTCTGTTTCCCCCCACATGCCATCACTCTGCTAAACAACTAATTCCCACAACACTGTCAAACTATTTAGTAAGGCTGCATTATTATTATTGTTCTCATCTTTCTTATTACCTATCTCCTTTTCTACTTATGACTATACTATAACTTTGTTGCTTGTATATTTACAATTTATATTGCTTTATTTAGTTTCCTAGTATGATTTATGTTGATTGTAGCTTTTATGTACACTGAGATCTTATGCACCAAAGACAAATTCCTTGTGTATCCAATCACACTTGGCCAATAAATAATTCTATTCTGTTCTTTTCTGTTCTGTTCTATTCTATTCTGTTTCTCTCTGCAGAGAGAAACTCATGGTATCAGAAGTATGGCTTATGGGAAAAGGTTAGGTTTAGGATTTAGGGGATTTCCTTTCCATTAAAATTTATGATGTATTTGTCAAGAATTTAAAGTGTCCCCAGGTATTTTGCTGAAGTGACCAACAGCTATCTCTCTGGAAACGGCAATTATTTTATTAGCCAACTGCATGAACAGTTAATTCAACTGAACTGTTTGTTCAGTTGGCTAAACAAGCAGAAGACTAAGTTAAGACATGAATCTTTAATCCATTGGTGGCCTATAATAGAAATATAGTCAATAAAAATACATATGAAGGGTCTTGATAGGCATATAGAGAAAATCTGATCTTAGAATCTGTACCAGAAAGTAAGTGGGAATTTCTACTGTTTTAACACATGTTCCCAAACTGACTTTAATTGAAACATCAATTCTATCTTCCAAGTCAATGATTTAATACAAAGTTCAGAAATCTGTAGCACAAATCCACACAGGAATTTCTTCAGGGAATGGCATTTATCGTAATTGCATGTGAGAAATGTCTAATCAGCTATTACTGTCCTATTTAATTTCTTGTGAATAAAAAATAAAAAAAAAACAAGAAAAATGTGTGCACACTGATGGAGAACTGATGGTTGTAATGTAGGAACCTCAAGTTACTCTGTTATAGTGCAAATACAAGAAGATTATACAAGAGTTCAGGGAAAAAATAATCCTTCTAAGTATGTACGGAAAAAAACTGATTGATTGAGTTACATACATACATACATACATACATACATGTGTGTGTGTGTTAACTTTAACAATAAATAGAACTATGATGTATAATTCAAATGAATAAAAACCAAACTAAAAATGCCATTCAATACAGCCATAAGAATACAACCTCTAAGAGAAATACCCTATTTAAATCAATCTAAAATGTAAAACTGTCTCAGCTCTCTAAAAGTAATGGAGACAACATGCATATTTCATCAATCCATTGTGTCTGCTCTCTGCCTCTTACACACCCTGGGAAGAAGATTAAAGAGGACCTATTAAAATTAGAGTAAAGCTCGTAACATAGACATACGAGCTCTGTAGGACATTTTATTCTATAAATCTATTTTATTTCTTGTACAAGCTGACACACTGCTCATTTCTCTCAATTAATATTAGCAAACAGTTCACATAAATAGCAGTCAGGAAGTCTTTCACAGATTTCAGTGAAGCGGACAACACATTTTCAAGAATGTCAATAATTATTTAATTCTGTGATGTTTATATATATTAAAATATAGTAGAATGTAAGGATAACATGAAATAACAGAAAGCAAAAAAAAAAAACCCGTTTCTGCATGTTTTATAGAATTCCTAGCACTCTTACAAGCAAAATCCTGCCCACTTAAACTAATTACTGAATATAATTACTGATAGGCAGGCAAAGATCAACAAAGAGATACTGGTATTGATACTCAAGCAATGTTTTAATTTAATGAGAATCAGTTAAGTAAAAGTGACTAAGACTTCCTATTCATTCCATTGCAAGGAAGAGCTACTATACTCAAGATGTAATCTTAAACATTTTGTAGCTAAGACCTTGTATGTCTTGATGAAACTAATTTCCCCAGATTCATTATGGTTAACTCTAACCATTTATTTGAGGAAACTGGAATAAAAGAAGTGCTACAGAAAGAAAGCTGCTCAAAATATCTAGGATCATTTTATTTATTTGTTCAATTTATATCCCACTTTTTGCTCAATTAAGTACTGTATTTTTTGCACTATAAGATGCTCCGGAACATAAGACGCACCTAGCTTTTGGGGAGGAAAACAAGAAAACTGCCTGTGCCTCCCAGCATCTATCTGGTATTCATCTGGATAACATCCTTGCAGCAAACAGCTAACAGCCTGGTCAGTTTCAGCACATTATCGCAGCCCCAGCACATGGTTTGTCAGGGCTCCATTCCACTGCGCCCACCAAGGTCAACTGAGCTGAGCTGAGCTGCTGCCACCAGGGAATGCTGGAGCCTTCGCTGCTGAGCAGTGGTTGGATCGACCTCCTGGAATATCGCCGATCAGCTGTTCTAGGCGGTGGGGATTGGCGGCAATGGTGGTGAATGGCAGTGGCGGCAATCCCCACTGCCTAGAACAGCTGACTGGTGGTATTCCGGGAGGCTGATCCAACTGCCAATCAGCTGCTTGGCAGTGAAGGCTCCAGCATTCCTGGAGCAGTGCGGCAGCAGTGACAGGTGGCGGCAGTGACCCTAACCCCTCACCACCACCATATTCGCTCTATAGGACAGACATTCCACCCCCTTTTGGGGGGGGAAAAGTATGTCTTATAGTGTGAAAAATACAGTATTTGAAGTATAGATTTCTCCAGATGTTTGAACTATGATTTCATGATTCCTTACTACTTATATTATTGAAGAAGGTGAGGTTATACCCAAGGAACTGGAAGGAAGCAGGTTGATTATTATGCATCATTACTTCATAAATGATTAACAAAAACAGAAGTTAACTTGTTCTTAATTCATGCTTTCCATAAGTATCAATTTATGACTCTAAGTATCTAAATTCATAGATTTTTTTTTAAATGAAAGCCCCTGTGCTTTGACCCTATCAAACTATAGTACTTTATGCAGCAAGAAAAAAATAAAAATAAAACAAAATTATCCTTAGAAATAATCATTCAATAGGAACCTGATCAAAGTACAAAATAGCTCAGAGAATATTTTCACTGATACGATTACTTGTGTTGTGAAACAAGTGAGGAGGTAGACATTTGCCAAAGGTGTCTGCAAATAGAAAATATTCTCTCCAGATAAGTATGAAATCAGTGCTTCTACGACGAAAGAACTAGAACAATCCTAGATTATTCTTTGAAAAACCTGCATGTGTGATTTGCATAATCTGGATGAAACATCATCATATATGTTCATGCTGATTGCATAATCATTCTAGCAAGTGATGCAGGATCTGACACTCATTTAATGAGTATTACAGTGAATACAGTTGAGGCTAATAAGATGGCTATCTTATCCATATATTACAATTCACGTACTGCTTAATTTAGCATAGGAATCATTGTTAATTATCATGAATTTATAAATATATTCATTGCTATAAATATATAAATATGTTCATCGTTACCAGAGTCAAAGAAGGCTCGCTCAGTCAAGAGCTTCAGAAAGCAACTTTACAGCTAAGGCTATTGCTACATTCTGGTGAAAATAAAAAGGGGGTTCAGTTTTTAAAACAACGTTTGGTAAGCCTACCTTTTTTTGAAGAATGTTAACCTTGCGTTCTTTCACATCAAGCATATCCTTGAGATCATGAATCTCTCCAGCTTGCGTTCCCTTCTCCTCAGCCATCTCTTGAATTTGCTTAGTCTTTTTGTTCAACATTGCCTCCTTCTCTTCCAGGCGCAACCGAAGTGCATCTACCTGAATTCAGTCACAAGAAAAAAAGCATTTAAGCAAGTAAATACTGCTAACAAATAATTGATCAATACATGGGTACTGTATTTCTCTTCTCTTCCTCACTAAGAATTAGTAAGTCAAGAGGGTAGATCTCTCTGTTGCTTTTCCCCACTATAGGGAGGACCTATTTATTTAGTCTGCCCAGGCAACTGATAGACCCAGCTTAGAGCAGTTTCTATAGCTATGGTGTATCATTCTACTAAAGCCACAATCTTGGAATGAGCAAGCAATGTTGGCCTTGAATCCACAGAGATCCACAGAGTCTCTGATTTTCAGATATACTAAGGGGAACAAAGTGACAAAAGAGCCACCCATAGAGCTTCTGGAGAAAGAGAAGAAACTCCAACTAAGCACAGAAAAGGGTTTGTGTTAAGGACCAACTTATGGTAATTTGGGGGAGGAGGAGGGGGAGACATACTTATTTCTTATTCAGTCCGCATACTGCCATCCAGTGATCATATTTTGGCTGACCAAGTTGCTGCTGGATGCAATTCAAGGTATTGGTTGTCATCTTCAAAGTCCTATATGGCATGGGGCCAGCTTATTTGCTCCAATTGTATCTGCATACTCCTGGTCCCCTCAATGAGGTACTGATCCCTGATAGGTCCTAGGAAGCAGTCTTCTCCCAGAAACATGGACAACCCCAGTGTTATTGGATTTTCAAAAGACCTAGCTCTTCTCCCAGATTCTGGCCAAGCTGCTAATTTGGATACATCAATGAGGATGTATAGCCGTGATGGCGAACCTATTGACAATTCGTGATGGCGAATCCTGGCACCTATGGCACATGTGCCGGAAGTGGCACGCAGAGCCACTTCTGCTGGCACGTGAGAGGTCACCTGGAAGAGCCCCACTGTGCATGTGAGCATACCACCTGTCTGCCAGCTGATTGTTGGGTATCTGCTGCGCATGCATGGGGAACGGGGGCGTGCAGGAGGCACGCACATATGCGCAGACTTGCGGCGCGCACGGGGGGTCTCTCACACATGCAGACACATGGTGTGCGGGGGATCATGCACGCATGTGCAGAGATGTGCAAGTGCAGAGACATGTGGTGAGCACGGAAGGTCAAGCGCACATGTGCAAGGGGCGTGGAGAGCCCCTTCTGGGTGCTGGCACGCGCACATGCAATTTTCAGCACAGGAGCCAAAAAAGGTTAGCCACCACTGATGTATAGCATAGGTAATTTGAGTTTTTAATGAGAGGCTCTGGACCTGGGTTTCTTTCTTTTTTTAACTTTTGATATTTTAAACTGGGTAGATAGGCAACCTTACAAATTTGATTAGCAAATAATAAATGATGAAGAATTGCTGTTAGGAAAGAATTTATGGATGGAGAAGGTTAAAAAAATAGGAACTTGACAAAGGAATTATCAAATTGTATTTTGTAAGTTTGTAAGAACAGGGAAAATTCTCTTATTATACTATAAATGGGAAGAAACTATATCTTTGAATGTTCTTCCTATCCTGTATGGTACAGTAGTGAATTTTGACTACCAAACTGACATACTCTACTATCACTGCAGTTCAGATTCCTAGACAATATAACTAAATTATTATTTCCTATAGTTTCTTTTGTGTATATTAGGCAAACAGGGAAAAGGGATTTATTAGAAAGTTGTAATCAAATATGCACAAGTTCAAATGGTTGCTAAACAAGAAGTCATTAACCAAGGGATACTTCTCTAAGTGTATGTAAGTTTGTGTGCATATGTAAAATTACAATTCAAAATCACAGTCAGTGTCTTAAATATTTAAGTATATCAAATAGAAGTAGAGATTTATTTTGTATGTGCAGAAAAGACAAAACTGGAATGTTAGTAAATATTTTCACATGAGAAAATAATACATTTCTTGGACACTGAATTCATGTTTCTACGCTGAATTGGTAAGAAGTAGGCCAAATAACTGGCACTTTAAAAAAATCCAGAAACAAACAAAAACTATTTTAAGAAAACTATTTGGCACAATATTCTTGTAAGCCAAAGGGATCACGTGCACAGTAATAAAATTAAATATAGATGAAACATTTTATTCCAAAATAAAAGTTGATCTCTATTTTGCCTTATTTACAAAAATATTCTAAGTTCCTTGGCCTATTCATAAAGCCTCTTTCTCAAATTCAAACTTGCTACAATAGCCTCTCTACCTATTTGCCTTTTGGAATAAACAAGCTCAAGATATTTTGCATTTCAGACCACTGTTACAAAAGTCATTGCCAACCTTAGGCAACTTAAAACAAAATAGACAAAGCACATAAAAATATAAAATGTAAATTTATAAATCCAATGGTATCCGTGGTAATAATTCATACCACTGATTTATTAATTACCCCAAAGAAATTCATTATGCAGAAAACATATTGAATTTCTTGGCCACTGGCAAATGTGAAACATACTGGCAGCTGTTATTAATTCATGTTCTCTCTGAAGATACATATTTATGGACTAAATAACAGAAGCCCATACTGCTTTAAAGGCCAAAAAAAAATTTTTTTTTTGGACCACAAAATAATTGGTAATAAAGATTTAAGAAATGTCATCTCCATTCCTATACTATTACAGACCAGTTTTTTTGGTTTTTCATTTATGGTGCTTCTCAGAAGCTTTCTTCATCTAACTTTCATTGTACAATTTCCTGTACAGTTTTTATTTTTTCTTTCAGACTCTTTGTAGAAATATTCAGTAAGAGATTAAACGAAGATTGTCTTGCCCCTCCTCAAACTGTTAAATGGAAAGGTTTTAAATCAGGTAACTGCAAATTGTTAGGCTAAACATTTAAAGAGCACTTTAAATTCTGTAAATCAATTTAATGTTAGGAAAAAAAGCATTTTGAGTCATAATATAAATTAATGTGTAAAAATATCCTGAAAGTTAGGATTTTGTCAATCTAGAATATTTCAAGCTTCAGAACCAACGTGAAATATAACATTTATTTAGCTGTTAAGAAAGAATTCAACTTGATAATTTGGTATTTTACAAATTGTTTCCCAATTAGGTATTTGCAATCTATGTAATCTTATTCTGATGATTCTAACAGAAGACAAATTTTAATAACTAATATACTGACGCCCTCTTATGGCTAATATACATAACTTTAGTTAGCCATAAGAAAGCAATTACATACACACAAAAATATACACAGTTATTTATGTTTATATTGAACATTTCCCAGTTAAAAATGTAATGGAAGTTTTACCCACACCTATATGTATTATTTTCAATACACATGGTCTGCCAGAACATATATTTAATCTATGGCACACAAATACACCTCAAAGCAACAATGACAATACCACTGTTAATGTAAAAGCCGCAAGAATGCTTGATATTTCCCTTTATATTTATGATATTGATATATTTAAAGCAAAGAACCAAATACTCAATTCCCCGTCATTCATTTTTCAATGTCAAGATTAAAGGACTTCCGTAAACAAACTTCTCTCTTTTGAAGGACCTGAATCTTAACATGAAATTGATAATTTTATATGTACCGTTTGCTCATACCAGTAGTCCTCAACTTATGACTATTTATATAATGGTCTCAGAAAGAGTGCTTTATAGTCTATATTAGTACTCCTGGCCGTTGCAAAATATCGCACCACCACCACCCTTGAGGTCATATGATTAGGATCCAGGTGCTTGGCAACCTGTTATAGTGAATGGTGCTGAATGGTGGAGAATCAATATTCAGGGATGAGAGAGATCTTCTGGGGTTTGTCACCAGCTACAAGTTATCATGTGGCTGCAATGTTCTCCGCCAGCTTCCCTAGAATGCCAATGGGGAACCTAGGCTCCAATGGATGGAATGTCTCTAGGGGCAGCATCTGTTTCCACAAGTGGCAGGACAAAGAACAAAGGGTCCCCTCCCCCCTTCACTGGTAATTCTATCAGGAAAGGCTTTGTAAAAGGATTAGAGATTGGGGGGGGGGGGTAGATAGCTTGCAGGCATGGTTTGAGGATGAAGAAAAATAACACATCAGTATTGCAGTTACTAAACAGAGAAACCAGTTTCAACAAAATGGGGACACAACAGATGAGAAAGGAAAAAAATGGATTCACATGCTTCAGGAAAAAGGATGAAAAGGTAAAATCATTTAAACACACAGTAAATGCAAGGATGAAACTTTTCTTGTAAATGAACTTAAAACATTCACTAATAACCTTGGGTTTTTCTTAAAAGCACAGAGAGGAAATAAAATTGAACTCTGTTCCTCATCCAGTCTAGTTGGCCAGACCAGACTGGAAGAAGACATTTTCTCTCTGTTTTTAATTCTTAACAATTTAAAATTAATATCTGAAGGGATCAGAGACAGTTAACAGTTGCAACAGTTACCTCGAGGACACAAAAAGACTTAGACACACACACACACGTGCATGCACACACACACAAAGGACACAGAGAGGAAAACAAAACTCTGAGGTTTACACACACACTGATCATTCCTACAATAAATATCTCAGTTAAATTGAGGAAGGCATAAATCTTAAGGAACAAACCACGTGGTTGCATAGAAGACAGAAAGACACAGAAAGAAAGGGAAAAAAACCTGGCAGAGAAGGCTGCAAGCTGCTGCCTCCTGCCTAGAGGACTCCCCCTCAACTTTGAGGCTGGCTGAAAGTTTCCTGAAGATTTTGACTCTGTTCCTGCACCCCACTGAAGGAATTTGCTTCCATGCGTGGAAGGGAGCTGAACTCCTTTGGTGGAGTTCAGAAATGGAGTCCAAAATCATTCAGCTCTGTTCTTGCATCCCACTGAAGGAGTTCCTTACCATGCACAGAGGGAAGCTGAATTCCTTCAGCGTGCAGCTCTTTCATCCAACCTTCAAGAGCAGAGGTGTCAAACTCGATTTCATTGAGGGCCGCAGAAGGGTTGTGTTTGATTTCAGGGTGGGCATGGCCAGCTCAACATCACTCATGTCGGGGGCACTTGTGGTGGCCAAGTGCTAAGACCCTCACTCCCTCTCATTATAATCTTCCTTCCTTCCTTCCTTCCCTCCCTCCCTCCCTCCCCCTTTCTTCTTCCTTCTTTTCCTTGCTCTCTTCCCCTCTTTACTTATTTGTCTTTGTCTTTCCTCTTTCCCTTTCTCCTTTCCTGTCTCTTCTTGGATGCTCAAATACAAAAGGGGAAATATTTGTCCTTTTGTTTTGTTTTTAGCTTCTTTTGCTAGCCTCTGTCAGTGAAAACAGAGCCAGGGCAGCTGCTTGTGGGCCCTGGGTCCTGTTTTCAGCCACAATGGCATCCTGCCACACATGCTCTGTTTTTGCTGACAGAGAGCTGACAGAGGCTGTTGTAGTGTGGCCCTCACAGGCTCAATTTTCGCTGGCAGAGACACCGTGGGCCAGTCCTTTGCTGTTTTTAAGCATCCTGTGGGTCAGATCTGCCCAGTGGGCCTTGAGTTTGATACCCCTAATCTAGAGAAAAGAGTTAAATGAAATCCAAGCAAAGTCAGCATGGTAAGGGGGTATGGGAGACCCTGGGAGGTTTGGCGCAAGCCATACATGAATGTTTCTTTGCTTGTGAGTTGAAAATTCTGTTCGGATTTTGGCAGGGAGGCTTTTCATCTCCTGAGCAGAGCCTTACAGGATCTCCCATATCGCTCAGAGGAACCCCATGCTTCTTATTCCAGCTGCTTAACAACCCAATTATTTAACAACCATAACCAAGAGTGCCAAGATTGTGTTGTTGAGCGAAGCAGTTAAGTGTCAACTTCTACCTCGCTCAATGATCAGCATTTTGGTCCCAACTGTGATAATTAATCAAGCACTTCCTGCATTTGTAAATAAAAGATAAAGCAGAATACAGCCAAGACTTTAAAATGTTGCACAGAACTGGAAAAGCAATACCAAAAAATGTTCAATACTGTATTTGTATCAGTTTTGACATATTTAATTATAAGACTGGCAGCAAGTTACAAAATAAAATTATCTCTTTTACAATGTGAAATGATCTCATATTTCTGTCAGTGTTAATTCTAAATGTCTTATACAAGCATTTAAATTAAGTGCATTTGTCTTCTACTATGCCCTGAAATGAGGATTTGGAACATAACACAACCTGATTAAGAGGAAGTTAACTTTAATCAGGTTTAATTTCAGTGCAGATATAAACAAGTTTAGTAGCTGATAAACAGGCAGGGTGTCTTGTAGACTAGTTAAAGAACACAAAATAGAGGTATGAATGGAGAGCCAGTTTTAACTCTGGATGAAAATAAATTATTTCTTCTCATTGGGACCTAAATGATCACATCAGGAAAGGTTATAGATGACACCAAATTACAGATATATCTCATTAATGTAATTGGGACTGGAATTTCTGTTTATCAAAAGCTATGAGAATTATCAATATTCAGGAATCAGAGATCTTCTAAAATTTGTCACCAGTTGCAAGTGATAAACAATGGGAGAGAACTATTATCTTCATACTGCATTTATAGATTAATTAGTGGATACTGCTGAATAGATCAGATTCTTCATTTTCTCAATTCTTTCTTACGATTTAAAGAGACATTCAAATTTGGAACTAGGAAATCACAGATTTTCCTTCTAACTTAAGAACTGAAGAAAAAAATAAAACAGAAGGAATGCGCATTCCACAGCCCAACCCAATAATCTAAATATTGTGCAGAACTCCCTAGTATTAGGGATATGTTTGTTACCTCTGTTTGCAGGATGGCAGCTCTCTGTTCTTTTGCTGTGAGGGATTCCTTGAGTACATCAATATGTTGCTTGCTATCAGAAAACTGGTTTGTGAGGGTTTCCAATTTTGTCTGTAAAGCCAGCAACTCTGTATCTTTCCGGGATAGTTCCTGTTTCACTTGACCAATCTATAGGAAGAACCAAGTATGAGAATATATGTTATGAAATGGCAAGAATGCATTCAGAAGCGTTATGGAAATGGCTTCATTCCAGTTTAGACCAACAAGGTATGGCATCAAGTCAGCTCAAGGAATCTGAATAAAGGAATAGTAAATGTGAAAAAAGCATGCTTTTGTGTTAAGTTTACAGAATTTTTGAGGAAAACAGAATAAAGCATTCCTAAAAGAAAAATCCTTGACAGGAAGACTATAAGACGTTATAGTTGTAGTAAACAGTTTCTCTTATAATCAGTAGCCTCGCAGTTGTGGAAAGCCAAAATTGAAAAAGGCCCAAATACCAAGGAAATCAGTCGTAGTGTAAGATTTTTTTAAAGCATTCAAAAGTGAACAGCAGGAAAAAGAACCCTGGTTTTTAATAAGCAGAAATTGTTCCGATTTCATGAAAACTATCACCAGAATGTATTACATGTCTGCATTATTATTACTTCACATCTTTTTTCACTTTAGCTTTATATGCTTCCTCAGACCTCAAGAGACGCAGGATAAAATATAAATATAAACCAGGGCAACATATATGGGCAAACATAGTTTTGGGGTTATTTTCAAGGCTTGGGGATAATTAGCTACTAGCTGAAGAGTAGCTAAAGTCTTAAAATATGCTGGCCATCTTTTAAAACCTTATGTGAAAATGGCAAAATCTTGCTAGATTCCATACCAGAACATTAAAATCTTGTGAAATTTCATGCAACTAAATCAAAATCTGATGAAGATTAGCAATCTCAATTTATTCCATCATTTTGGGTAAAATCTTTTGGGGGCAAAATATGCCTTTATATCTGTGGATATCATATTGCCGACCCCAGCCCATGGAAGGAATTTAAATAAAAAATAGTAATCTTTTCATCCTTCAATATACTTCCAGCTCTTTAAAAATATCTTTAGCTCTCAATAGTAATATCAAGATGCCAAGAACCAGAGCATTTCCACTTCCTTTGTTATCAATACTATCTACTACCTGACTTTAAAGAACAGGTGTAACTTCACTTCATTTTTGCCTTAAGACTTAATTTTTTAGATGAAAAATACAATAGTTTCCTATTTCCTACACAACTTGACAACTAAATAACATAATACACAATTCAGAAACTTTCAAATTCAACAAATCAAACTTCTCAAACACATAAATGTTGGTATAGTGATGAAGGTGCTGGCCCAGAAATCAGAAGACTGTGAGTTCCACACCTGCTTGAGGCATGAAAGTCAGCTAGGTGACTTTGGGCCAGTTGCTCTCTATCAGTCCAACACACCACACAGGGTTGTTGTTCTGGGGAAAATAGGAAGAGGCAGGAGTATTAGGTATGTTTGCTGCTTTGAGTTACTTATAAAATAATAAAGGTGGGGTTTTTTAAAAAATGAAATCTTATTTTTTTCCCATCTAGAAAGGAGCACAGAATGGATTCAAGGCCACAGATTTAACCCACACATTTCAAACAATAAAATTCCTCTTTTAAATATATATCAGAGAAATGCATTTTATTAGAACTAGAAATTGAATTTGCTGCATACAATAAATCATAAAACTACGAAAGACATCTAATGCGTCCATGCATGGTATGTCAAAAGCATCATTCCAGGAAATTAAAGTAACACAAGATGCATATTTATGCCCCTGACAGTGCATTAAAACTACGTAACCTTATTAAAACAAGATTAGCAGTATTCATTTCAAAAGCTTAATACATGCATCTCAAAGATATGAAACATGCTGTGACAATTTCCTTTCATATTCTTTCTAAGCGCTAAAATTACAATTCATGCAACTGTAGTGATCTTTTAAGCTGAGCAACTAATATTGGGTGTTCAAAGGAGTAGATTATATATTGTAATATATCAACTAGGTGTGAATAAGGATAGGTGCAGTACTGTTAGTTTTCTTGCTCTTTAGCGTTGCAGAGGGTGAAGGAAGGAAAGTAAGCCACCCCAAAAAGCTAGCAGCGCTGCGCCGCACAAAGAAACTTCAGTCTTACGGCAGAGACCTCTGTCTGGAGATCGGCCACTTTTTTTTTCAGTTCCTCCCCTTGAATCTCTCTGGTATTTAGCTCTTCCTTCAGTTGCTCTACCTGCCACGACATTGTTATTCTTTTACATTTAGAGCAAAATATTTTCCTCTTAACCTGCCGCTATTTGAAGAGATGCAAAGAGTAGCAAACATATAAACAGCTAGCAGACTCTCCATGATTAAACACCAGTTCCTCAGAATAACTTTCTCCTAAATTCATACTGCGATTATCACATTTTATTAGGTTATTGTAAAATACATAAGTATTCTACATGAGGTATTGTAAAATACATAACTAAGTAAGAGGACAATGAAGGGGAAGCGGGAAGAAAAGTGAGAAAAGATAGGGAAAGAAAAAGAAGCATTGACTTCTGACTCTCTCTGTTACAGTAGAATAAGGCATTAACAACAGATCACAGCTTTTTGCTTTTCCATAATAGTATGAACAAGTCATTTCTATAAAGATCTATCAATCTAATCTGGAAAACCCAAAATCAAAGTTTCATTCATTTCTACATCAAGCACGAAGTTCATAAGCGCTTTCCATGGGGAAACAAAAATACTTATGTTCTTTTCTTCGATCAAGGTAGTCAGTTTTGCCATTTCAGGCAACTCCATCAACTTCTGTAACCATTCTTCCATAGCAGGAATCGAAGTGTCCTTCTACAATAGTCTAAATTCATATTGCAGCAACTATATACTTTACACATTTTTATATGACATCATGTAAAACATGCCTGTCAATCCTTTGGTAGTTGAGTATTCTGGTGATCTGGTAATTTTTATCACTTTTTATTTCCTCTTTATAGACTACTGTGATGTATTTAATTACACAATACTTATCTTGAAAACGAACTGGAAACTGCAGTTGAGTCAAAATAAGGAAACAAGATGGATAAAGTGCTTTTTCATTTATATTACACTTTATTTGCTGTATTTGTACCCAGTCCATTTCTGGATTGAATGTAGAACCACCCCTTAAAAAGAATTTGGGAAGACCTTTTTTAAGTGATATGAGACAAGATCCCTTCTAGGGAGCAGCTACAGAATTACTGAAATGCACACCTTTCGGGAGTCTTAGATATATATCTTTTTGGCATCAAGTAACCATATTATTCACCTATGTCTTATAAACAATAATCTTGTAAAAAAAAACTTTCTGGATTTGCTAGTTGGCTTCCTTTCACTATTTTCAACTCAATTTAGTATTTTAATCATAACAATATCAAATGCTGAATTGATTGGAAACTACATAAATAAGGCAAGCAAATCTATGCTGTGTATTTTAATCTGGTTACTCTAATGCCCAAAGTTAATAATAATAATAATCAACAATTTATAATGCAGACTCCAATTTCAGCATTTTAAAAGAAAGCCCCTTTTCTCTGACATTAAAGCATGAACACTTGTAAACTTTTGAGATCTCCCACCCTTATGTGTCTTAAAGGTCAAAGTCGTCATTTTCTCCAACACACTTTGTTATATCATGGACAGCTGTTTACATTAATTTATGCAAGAAAAGTCCCTTGAGTATTTTACTAGAGCATGAACAATACACAGTTTTATTTAATTGTGTTGACGCAATTCCATTTTCCTAAATTGGTTTCTACATCTTAAATGCAATTTGGTCCACCAATCTTAGATTACAGTAATATAAGATTTGCAGTTTTGCTTAAGTATTTTCATTTAATTTGAAGGAACTCTAGTAGAGAAGACAGATCACCAATCCTTTATCTGTTCTGTGATTCAGTGAACGAATTAGTTTTTTTGGGGAAGTGTAAGCTATTCTTTAACATACACAGTTTAGTTATTACCTTGTTTTTCATAAATTTGGAATGGCTACGATACACCTCCATTTGCTTAATTTCTTCTTCACGTTCCTCTGTGCTGAGTGCACCATTTGACTTCAACATTTGGATTTCTTCTTCCAAATCCCGGAGTCCACGTTCCATAGAAGAAATTTTAGAATCCTTCAAATACATGGAACAATGGTTTAGTTTTCTCAAAAAATGCCAATATTTTGCTAACAACATTTGAGTTGAAGGACTATGTCTGATAAACATCTCCCTGCAGCACTGCTATACATAATATTTAACTATAGCAGTTATTAATTGTGCGTCTACAATTTAGCCCCAAGATGGTTTTTCAAAGGGCAAATGGACTTTTTTGGTTTTTTCCTTGAAGATATTCCGCTTCTCAACCAAGAAGCTTCTTCAGTTCCAACTGCATGGTGGAGAATGGAAAGATTCTCTGCCATTCAGCAGAACTGAAGAAGCTTCTTGGATGAGAAGTGAAACATTTTCAATGGAAAAACAAGAAAGTTACCTTAAAAAAATACCTTTGGGACAACCATGACCTAGATGACTGAAAATCTCCACAGACACCTGCAATTTAAACAGAAAATAGAGATACGCTAATAGAAACTGGCACTTTGAATCCAGAAATAACACTGGGAATACACTGAGAACTTGGGAGGCAAATAAGAAAAAGTCCTTCAACAGAAAAACATTTACAAATTTATATAACACAGAAAAAGATGTAATACATCTAGAAAAAGATGCACTATTTCTTACTTTTTTCTGTAATAATTTTTCTTGTTTCAGGGAAAAAAAAAACCTGCCTATGAAACCCACAATTACTAGAATATATAACAAAATAAACATACATTAAAAATTAATGACAGCAAGTATGACAGCAAGTAGATAAAATAGACATGCATTCATTTCACATACGTAACATAAACCAGATATAAATAGTCCTGCACATTTATAAAACAATACTGAAATTCTCCTGACAATAGCAAAAATGCTAAAAAGGAATCAGTGTATTGTACAACATGTCAGGATGAAAATTCAAAAAAATAAAAAAGAACTTTTACCTTCATTTCTATAACAGTCTGTAAAGCTTTAGTTTTGGCAGAATCGGGAGCATTTTCAAAACGACGGTGCATCTCCTGTTTAAGAAGAAGAAATATTAAGTAGGTACCTAAACGTAACAGCACTGAACTTCTGGGATTCAAAGAAAAAGTATTATAGATAATAGCTAAAGGATCTTTAAATTTTTTAAATACCTATTAGCAATAGTCTTTTCAAAGTTTCTTCTTCCAGAAGGATAAAATACTTGAAAAAAAAACAGGATTAATAAATAACAGCAACAATCTGCTATGTACTTAACAAGCTGATAAAGCATCTGTGCCAGCAATACTCCTACGTTCCCAGAGTAGCAACCACCTAGTTACTGATGACGACAGCTCTTTCCACAATGATAACAAGGAACTGTTCATCAAAACAATTACAGTGCAACTGACATAAATGCTCTGTAGTTAAGACCAAAATGAAAATGCCTGGACTAGGGGTGTCAAACTCAAGGCCCGCAGGCTGCATCCGGCCCTCCTGAGCTCCATTTTCGGCTACGACAGCCTCCTGCAACCCTCTGTTGGCAAAAACAGAGCTCATCACCCCAACACGAGCGATGTTGAGCTGGCCACGCCGCTCTGCTTCCCCAAGGTCAAACACAATCCTGATATGGCCCTCCAGTGAAATCGAATTTGGCACCCCTGGCCTAAAAACACAAAACTGTTTTGTGCTAGACCACAATTATTATTGGATTACAATAATGACAAACAAGTCATGTACTCATTTTAGAGCAATTTTCATAATGAAACACCCAAAAATATTAAATCTCATTAAATATTAGCATAAGGTATTAAATATTGGTGTAGTGTAAGCATCAAAATTAAAGGGAAAGAGAATAGAGAGGAGTAAAAAGTGCAAGGGGAAGAAAGGCAAAAGAAAAAAAAAGAAAAAATAAGAATCTAACAAAAAAGAGAAAAGAAATCTATAAAGAAATGACTCCAAAATTAATCACAAGTATAAACAAGTTTAATGACTCTTCACCACCTCTAAGGTTGCAAATGTTTATCTCATCATCTCTTATCTCTGAACAAATCCATAAAATATAATTTTTCAGTCCTGGTGTTAATTGTAAATCCATTTAAGAGCCAGGAATACTGTAACAACAAGTCTTATTTTATTCTTGATCAAATAAATCAACTTTATATTCTTTCATTATACTTTTAGAAGTTGTAATTTTAGTTCATTCAAATATTGTTGTGCAATTCGATTTAACTTCATTTCTTCTTTGTCCTATCACAAAGAATTCTTCAAGACTTTAATAAGCCTATTTTGTAATTTCAGTAAAAAATTATTCAAATCACTTTCTTGGTTTGTAATGTATTATTTCCCTTTTAAATTGTAAAGCCTCAGTCAATTTGTTTGTACATCCAATGAAACAACCTTTTCTAAAACATTCTCTTGGACTGTCAGTTATAAATCCACATTTCTTCAATAACATTTTTTTGGATTTAGTTTGTCCACAGAAGCAGAGACCATTACTGACATTGTTCATATTGAGTCTATTTTCTGATTCCATTCTTCAAAAGTCTCCTTCAATATTTTTATTGTTTAGAGTGTTCAGCACCCTCTTAGAGGCCTATATATCTGTATACCTTCCATAGAGCTGTCAGGTTGCCTTACATCATTTAACTTATCTACAAAAGAAATCTGGAATGCAAGTTTGCTTTATAAGAAAGCCTCTGATATATAATGAAGAAAGCCTATATAATGGATGTCTGACTTTGTTCATATGAATGTGTTCTGTCCAAAATAATTCAGCTATTTTGCCTTAAATTTATAAATGTAATCATAAAGTTATATGAAAATCAATGAAGAATATAATGCTTACTCCACTTGAAACATGATGCTAAACAGCAAATGGTTTCAAATATCCTTCATAGTAAAGTAATTGTTTCTATGGAAACTATAGAACTGTCATTCTTTATTGTTGCCCAGATTTCTGTTTTTTTAAATAGAAGTACACAATCATTTTACAGTTTCCTGGTAAAATCAAATCAAATAATAATGTACAGATTGTGATGATTCAGGTAGGCTATATTTATAAACACACAGATTAGACTTGCTATTGTATAAGGATAGGATAAATTCCTGATTGCTTCCAGTATTTTTCTTGGTCAAGAATGAATTCCTAAAGAACAAAAAAGTAAAGTTCATACAATTGCTTATTCTATTTTTAGATAAGTTCTAGACTGATACCCTATTAATGTCTGAATCCAGGCTTAAACATATATGGATATTCACAATCCAAAATTTCAAATTTCAGTTTCCAATCTTTTTTGGATACTTTTGATATTATTCCCAGATACACCCCCAACTTCCTATACATAGAATTTATCAAATGATATGTGAGGTTGGAATGAATTATGAACAAGAAACCAATTTGAACTCCGGCAAATTTAGGTTCCAGACTAAGCTGTGCATGTCTTTAAACAAGTTAGAAAAATCTACAAATGCTTGCTCCTATCAAAAGATAAAACAAGAAAAAATTGTACAAGATTAGATGGATTATGTGAATAACTCACTTCTCTGAGCAAGCTGCTCTCCTTTTCCTTTTGCTCCAGTAAGGTTTCCAGGTGATGAACATGCATTTCAGCCTCTGCCAACCTTCTTGTGCGCTCATGATCTTCCTCGGTGGCTTTTGCAGACAATCCCTTGCTCTGCAGCATTTCCAGTAATTTTTTAATTGACTCATCACGAGCATTTAAGGTCTGTTTCTGGGTCTCGATGCGCAACTCCATTTCTTCCAGGGTTTTGCGTAGCAAGAAGAGTTCCTTGGCTTGACGCTCATGCTCTGCATGCAGCCGTTGGAAGTTTTCTTCTGTTAGTTCGGCCAGAAACGGTTCACTGGATCTACTGCTGGTGTCTTGCTGGAAAAGTTGGTTCAGGTCCCTCTGGATCCTAAGTTCATCCTGAAGAGCTTGAATAGTCATCTGCATATGCTGAGAAATAAACATCTGAATCAGTAACCATTTCATTAAAAGGAATACAATACAGATTTATGACAGAGAATATAAATATACAATGTTGCTTCCCAAAACATTTGAGACATCCCTTTATTCATCCAGTTCAATTAGTGATCTTCTAATGTTATTAAATGTTAAAGCCAACAGTTTCAACAAAATTAAAAGTGTTTTTAATATAGTAACTTGTTCATTATATACCTTAAAACAGGGATGTCAAACTCAAGGACCATGGGCCGGATCCGGCCCTTGGGGTGCTTAGATCTGGCCCTGGGGCTGCCCTGGAAACAGCAAAGAACTGGCCCATGGTGCCTCTGACAGTAAAAATGGAGCTGAGGGGAGGGGCACACGTGGCCCTCCCGAACTCCGTTTTTGCTGGCAGAGGGTTGCAGGAAACTGTCGCAGCTGAAAATGGAGACTGGGAGCCCGTTTTTGCTGGCAGAGTGCTTGTGTTGCCACAGGCTCCCCTGACACGAATGACGTCAAGCTGGCCATGCCCACCCCAGCCCTCCAAGGTCAAACACAACCCTGATGCTGCCCTCAATGGAATCGAGTTTGACACCCCTGCCTTAAAACAATATAAAAAAAGCATGTTGAAAATATATCAGATATGATGAATTGCCCATCTACTACTCCATTCTTATATTCTACCAGGTTAGGTCCTACCCATACTTAGACAATATTTTTATGGATTCCTGCCTCCCACATTTCAAGAGGTCAATGAGAGCCAGGAATTCACTGAAGGGTTACAGTTAGTGCCCTAAGGCGCTGACCAATCAAAACTACCCTGGCTCTCCAATTTCAATTATCAAAGTATACAAAATGAAAATATCTTAAATGATTACAAATGATGCAGAACTAGAGGGACAAATGACCCCTATCTGAAACAGACACACTACATCAACCTGAAATGCTTCTAAAGGGTGGGCAAATCCATGGCAACTCCAGCAGTAATGGCTGAACCAAGTTTACTATACAATGTCACCATGCAATTAAAATATCCAACTGTTGAGTGGAGACCTTATATATGGATGAAACAGATTACCTGGAGTGGCGAGTAATCTGTCTCATCCATAGAAGCCATAATGGCACAGCGCTTAGAATGCAGTATTTCAGACTAAATCTGCCCACAGCCTGAAGGTCAATCCTGACCAGCTCAAGGTGGACCCAGACTTCCATCCTTCTGAAATCAGAAAAATGAGGACCCAAATTTTCTGTGGGAATACGTTGACACTGTAAATTGCTCAGGTAGTGCTGTAAAGCACTAAGGAGCAGTATATAAGTGCTATTGCTACCCAAAATGTACTCTGAAGAGCAGGTACTTAATATATCTTCCTGATATTTGGGCTGCCCAACTTTATAAATACCATATCACAATATTAATTCTCTGTCTAATTCCCAGTCCACTCCAATCTGAAGGCTGAGAAAAGTTTCAAAGGAAGAGTTTGGATGATACTGCCTTAAGATTATATCATACGTTCAAATGTTAAGACCTTGAAGTGGCTGGTTTGATACAAATCATTTTTTCAGACTAAATACTTCAGAGTATTTAATCATTTATATGCCCCCACATCTTAGGAAGAGCTTTCTTTAGAACAGATTTAGAACATGTTTTGAACAATGAAGATATGACAGATTCCATAGAGCTTGGCGGCTTGGCAGGAGGGGGAGGAGATAATTCTGTGCAAGTGGTAGGTGTGCACACAGCTCCATTTGTGAGTGACAAGCACACACGCCCACTGCTTGCACAAATGGAGTTTCGCAGGTGAGAGCTAGCACCCGCCGCTCGCACAAGTGCAGCTGCACGCACGTGCCCTCGTGCTTGCATACGGCTTGCACTCGTGCACACGGCTTACATGGGCCACTAGGAGGCAACAGTCTGGGGGGTTGGGGTTCCCTGCCATAGAGTTCCATTTGCAGAAAGACTCTATATGGTGGTGCACCTGCTTCTGAAGGTATCATACGTATCTTGTATAACTGCAAACTATATTCTGGGGAAATGGATGTTTACTTAGAATCTTGTTTAAAAACTAAGAAATACTGGGATAATCAGGATAAAGAGCCACACCTTATAGGGAATGAATTTGCATATTGCTTAGGAAGGCTGCGGTTTTCATATCAAAGATCATTATGAAGAAGAGAGCCTAGCTAAAACAAATTGAGTATGACAGCACAGGTGGCAATTTAGTATGAATATGTTTTACTGTGTTTTGGGTATTGTTTTGATAACTTTTCAATATGGTCTGGTGTTTAAACAATAAAATTTATTGTATATTGTAAAAATTGTTGTATATTGTATAAAATTTATTGTATATTGTCAAACCATTATAGAACATCTAAAAAAGGACTTGATGACAGATGTCTAATAGGGCTATGATACTGTAGAATTTTACATTAAAAAGTTGCTTTTAAAAGTACTTCATTGCTAAATAATCTCAAAGGCAATAGAGCAGAAAAGAGATAGGGTGTTGGTACTTACCTGATATGCCCGTTCTCTGTGAGCTGTTCAGAGCATCCAGTGATGGGAAGGTGCTTCAGTCCCTTCTAGGAAGGCTGGGCTTAAACTTGAGGACACTCCTCCTCCTCCACGAGACTCCTCCTTAGCGTCCCCAGTTTTGCAAAGCCAAGGTATTGATACCCTATATGCTTAAGCCTATGTAATAACCCTGGCCAGAACAGACCCCCTACCAGACGGAAAAAGGAGGAGCTGGATGCTCTTCACAGCTCACAGAGAATGGGTGTATCAGGTAAGTACCAACATCCTTTCTCCCATGAGCTGTTCAGAACATCCAGTGATGGGACATACCAAAGCTTGGCACTGTCCTAAGGGAGGGACTCCATCTGGGTTGCAGACCTAACTGTCTCTGAAATAAACTGCAAAACTTGCCTACCAAATGAAGCCTCAGCAGAAGCAAATACATCAATTTTATAATTTCTAATAAATGGAGATGGAGAAGCCCAGGTTGCAGCTTGGCAAATCTCCTCTACTGTAGCTTGGGTCGCCCATGCTGCTGTGGTGGCTGCACTCCCGGTGGAGTGAGCAGTAATGCCTTGGGGCACTGGAAACGAGTGAAAATCATATGACTTAACGATGGTGGCCTTTAGCCATCTACCTATGGTGGAGGGTGAAACCTTGCGCCCCAGGGTGTTAGGCTGAAAGGACACGAATCAGCTAAATCGCTAGTGTTCTGTTCCAACCAGGAAAACAATAACACAACCTGTCTGAAGAAAGGCTGAGCTAAAACTGGGGACGCTAAGGACGAGTCTCGTGGAGGAGGAGGAGTGTCCTCAAGTTTAAGCCCAGCCTTCCTAGAAGGGACTGAAGCACCTTCCCATCACTGGATGCTCTGAACAGCTCATGGGAGAATTAAAATGTTTACAGATTAGCTTGTCTGTAGAACATTTCTCACCTCAATTAGGTCAAGCAAAGAACACTTTGTTCATGTCTACTTGAACAGAAAATAGTCAAAATAAATCCAAGGAACAGAAGTATGCCACATAGGAAAGAGAAGAAACACCTTGGCATCAACACATTTTATTAGATTCATAGAATAGGAAAAACTTGTTTTGTTTATGAACACAAATAGGAAAAGATATTCCAATGCTATCAAAAAATGAAAATACAATTTCACATGCTAGAACTGTTCAAATAGCTATGTTAGCAAAACCAGGTGTAATTTCTTCCAATGTAACCTACCATAGAACACACAAAGAAAGAATGATTTGATAGAACAGGAGGTACCGGTATTATTTTTCTCAATATTGAAATGTGAGTCTTGTCTAATGAATAGCATCTTAAAATCAAAAATAGTAAATTCAACAAAATGTGATAAAATTGTAATAGCATTAACTGCTTATTCTATAGACTCTACTGAAGAAAACAGAATAAACTTTAGCAGGTGAAAGTCTACCAGAAACAGGAATTTATAAAATAGTACTATCCAGAGAGGGGCCAAACATGCTTTATGGACAATGTATATAGTACGGGTGTCAAACTAGATCAAGTCACATGACATATCATGAAATTTTTTTGCCTTTGTGGAGTCGGGGTGGTATGGCCTGCATGTGATGCATCTGGCCCACAGGCCACGAGTTTGACACCCCTGATGTATAGCATTAATGTGGTGAGTGAAACAATTCTATACCTTGTTTTTAAAACAAGATTAAGTCTGGTGACTTATCCAATAGCTTCATTATCAAATACCTTTTATTTCAGACAGCTACTGTAAGAAATATGTAATCATATATGCCAATATAGTGTATCAAGACTCATGAAACAGACTGAAGGCATAGAAAGAACTGCTTATTAAAATTGTACAATGATTGAAGTACTTACAAATTTCTGGAGGAATAAAGTCATTTCAACAAAGTACAGATGTTGAGAAAGCTGACAGAATTTGAAATATTTATTTAAAAAATCAAGATCACTTGTCAGGGTGTATATACTGTATAAGTTGGTTGGAATACGAAACAGGTGGAATAAATTAAAACCATGATAAAGTAGATGCAAAACTTCAAAAGAAATACAACTAGACTTTGGCTTATGACTGTTCATTGAGAGACCGTTTGAATTGAATTGAATTCTTTATTGTCATTGTATGTATATATACAGTATACATACAACGAAATTCATATAACACCCACAGACCAGATTCAACATACACTTACACATGACAATCCCCAAACACCTCCCCACCCACCAAAATTCCCTGCCTCCTAAAAACACACAAGCATCCACACAACAGACCAAGTAATACTGTCCAACAGCTCACTGATAGTAGTCCTTAAGTTCATTGTTAAGTGCAATTATAGCTCTGGGATAAAAGCTATTCAGAAAACATGTAGTCCGAGTTTTAATTGTTCTGTTATAGAAAGTTTGAAATTATGAGGGAGCTGAACAAAGAGGCTTACGAGGGGCCTGCTGGAAATTATGTCTGCTGTAGCACCCCTGCAGCCACAGGAACAAAATTTAGGCACTT